ATGGGGGTGTGTCAAAACATTATAGCTTATGCTTTTGTGTAGGCTATAGTGGGGTATCCCATAGGGGGTACAACCCAATTAGGGTTAGTACTTGTACCCACTTCATTCATAGTTCATTCATTCGCGTTCACTCTTTCACACAAGACCATCCTCACCGGGAAATGGGTCTTCCGCATCAAAACCAAGGCAGATGGCACAATCGAGAAGTTCAAAGCACGCTGGGTCGTGCGTGGATTCGATCAGGAACACGGACGGAACTTCACCGAGACATTCGCCCCGGTTAGCCGACACACTTCACTCCGAATCCTCCTCGCGATCGCCGCCATGAAGAAAAGGAAACTACGGCAAATCGACGTCGCTAACGCCTTCCTCTACGCACCCGTCGACGCCGAAATCTTCGTCGAACTTCCACATGGTACCCACGGGGAACCTAACCAAGTCTGTCAGTTACTAAAATCGCTCTACGGAATCAAATAAGCCCCGCGGCTTGTGGCAACAGCACCTACACATTCTTCTCACTCGCATCGGATTCCGCCAACTGCCTCACGACCAAGGAATGTACCGACTCACCAAAAACGCTGACTACATTCTGCTGATCGTCTACGTCGACGATTTACTCTACATCGGCTCTACTGACGACATAACCACCTGGTTCGAAGGAGAGCTGAAGAGGGACCTCACACTCACGGTCTCCTCTACCGTCACTCAGTACCTCGGACTCAACATCCGCGAAGAAGAGAACGCGATCTATCTCAGCACCGAAAAGTATGCCGACACTATCGCCAAACGCTTCGCACTCACACCTACTACTATCTCCACGCCATACCGCTACACGGTAGGGAACGACAAGGGAGGTCCCACTCTACTCAAAACCGCCGGAATACGCGACTACCAGAGAAAGCTGGGCTGCCTTCTCTTTGCGGCCGTCACCTGCCGTCCAGATCTGTCCTACTCCGCAAGTCCACTCGCCACCTACCTCAAGAAACCCGAAGCAGAACACCTGGCGGAGCTCGACCGCGCACTCCACTACTTCGTAAGCACCTCAACGATCGGTCTGACATACCACAAGAAAACAACTACACCGACGAAACTAATCGGCTACGTCGACGCCGATCACGCCGGCGACTCAGACAACAGGCGTTCCCGCACTGGCTACATCTACCGCCTCGAACCTATCGGACCTATCTCCTGGCAATCGAGCAAGCAGGAACTAATTGCTCTCTCCTCAGCTGAAGCAGAATATATCGCACTCTACTCAGCCACCAAGGAAGGACTCTACCTTCGCGAGTTGCTGGAAGAAGCGAAGTTAGCCGAGATACCCAACTTCACTCTGTTCTGCAACAACCAATCTGCGATTCGCATCGCCAACAAAAGCGGATTCGCGAACAGAACAAAGCATATTGCTCTGCGATATTTCTTCGTGAAAGACGAGATCGAGAAAGGGAAACTCGAATTATCCTACTGTCCCACGTCCGAGATGGCAGCCGACTACTTGACCAAGAAGCTCGGAAAACAGAAGTTCGAGTACTGCATGTTGCTGACTGGACAAAGCCACGTCACCATCAGCGACACTCCAGAAGCGAAGGGGAGTGTTGGGAACAAATAGCCTTAAGCGCTTATGTCGTGTCGAAACTTCAAGACACAAGCGAAGCAGCGCAAATCGAAGCACCAGCGAGTCAACCCTCGGAGTTGATGTAACCGCTGGAGGTTACGAGAAAGTCAAAGGTCAGCGACCTTTGACTTGACAAAAGCAGCGCGACAGCAAGGACACACAACTGACTCGACATTGAGCAGTTGCCCGAGTCGCACTGTATCGAACCGCAACAGTAAAGTAGTTACAATTATGTATCTTCATATTCTATGTACTCATATATATATATTCTTGTATCTCTTCGTTTTAATCAACTTACTTTGCCCTCACATACTAGCGCAAGGTGGTTCAAGGACTTTATTCAAACGCTTCCGCTACTACATCGTTTACTCAACCTTTAACTCTACCAAAAGATCCTAGGGTGTCTCAGCCCAACAGGTCGAACCAGCCACAACCCCAATCATTTTTGGGTGCCCAACTTCATTGGCCCACCTTCAATGTTGTGTGCGCTTATCCAAATCACCAATAATTGCTACTATAGATATCTTTTTCTTTTCATTTGTATTTTTGGGAGAGGCAAATTTCGGACGGTGATCGTAGAACGACCAGGTTAGATTGGGCGCGTCTGAAGGCATACAAAACGGTTGAGTAGGTTTTCGAGGCTACAGGCGAGGGGACAGGGCAGCCCCATCTGACCCACCCACCTCACCAACACCATTTTCCCAAGAACTGGCTAACATGCTCTGCCACCGCGTTTCGCGGCGAAGCCTATTTCCTCTCCTGGTGCAGACACCATTGATCGGCGGGCGGCAATAAGTGCGCATAAGACCAGCCCGATCCGACCTCCCGCCTAATTATTCCGATAATTACTACCACCCACTGTCATTTTCCCGTGAAAGGGCCGGCATGCTCTGCCTCCGCGTTTCGCGCCGAAGCCGGCTTTCCTTTCCAGGTGCAGACACCGTCGAAGGGCGGAGCTCGGATCGCTCCTTACGGCAGCAAGTGTGCGCTTGCAGCGCGAAAGAGTCCTCTCACGGTGCCGCAGGGTTGCTAGTTGCTCCGGGCTTCCGCAGCCCACGCCGACCCCTAGCCGAGGCAGGGAGAAGTCCTGAAACTCATGGCGCGCCGCGCTCGGGCGACGTGCGCTGCCAGTCCAGTATCGACCACATTGCCGAACACCACGTGTATATTACGCACGTACGTACAGCATCTCGTATAGCCCACGCTCGAGAACGGCCTCGCATTCACGACGCGCATAAGGGTACTAGCTTTCCGCCGTGAACTCCTTTTCAAGCCTGTCCGCGCGCTTGGTGCAACTGCAAACTCTCGCCATGGCGCTGCTTCGTGCCGCCTTTCTGCTGCTTCTCTCGCTCCTTCCTCTACTCGTCGCTCTCCACCTCCCCGCCGCCGTTTCCGCGACGCGCCTCCCCCCGGGCTTGGCGGGGACTCTCGCGGCGCGCCCCACGGCCGAGCAACAGCTGGCACCCGGCAGCGCGGCGGGCCTGGCCGAAGATGCAGCGCGGATCCGCGCAGCCGCGGCGCGCGGGGCAATAGCGGGCCGTGCTCTTATCGAGGACACAGAGGATGGGCCCCGCTCGACGGGCGCTCGAGTTCTGGCGGAGATCAAGGCGCTGCATTTTGCCACTGACACTGAAGGAGTGCGTGTTGCTGCGGATGCTGAGGCTGGCGCCCCAATTGGGCAGAGAGGAAGGGAGTTAATACTTGAAACTATTGCTTTGGGGGTGATGGGGGCGGTCAAGGTGGCCAAAGCTGCGGGGGTGGCGGCTGCGGCAAAGGCGGCGGCTGCGGCGGGTGCAGCAAAGGCGGCGGCTGCGGCGGGTGCAGCAAAGGCGGCGGCTGCGGCGGGTGCAGCAAAGGCGGCGGCTGCAGCAAAAGCAGCGGCTGCGACCAAGGCGGCGGTTGCGGCAAAAGCGGCGGTTGCGGCAAAGGCGGGAAAAGTGGCGGCAGTAGCGGGGAAGGCAGTGAAGACGGTAAAATCTGGGGGGGCTGCATTGAAAGCAGCCAAGACAGCACAGGTGGCGAAGGTGACAAAAGCAGTGAAGGCAACTAAGGTGGTGAAGGCAGTGCAGGCATCCAAGGCTGCCAAGGCTGTGAAAGCAGCAAAGGCGTTCAAAGCAGCTAAGGTGGCCAAGGTGACCAAGGCTGTAAAGGCGAGCAAGGCTGGGCAGTTGGTGCAAGCGGCCAAGGGGACCAAGGCTGCTAAGATGGTTGCTGCGGCGAAGGGGTCTAAGGCTGGCAAGGCGGCAATCAAGGCCAAGGAGATGTATGACAAGGCGAGTAAGGTGAGGAATGTTTACAACCGGCTGGCACCGGTCATCAGGGCGCCGCGGATTTAAATGGGTAGTTGGCAAGGCGAGGCAGGTTGAGAAGGTGGAGCTATCTGTGTGGTTCTCTCTATCTCATGGACAAGTCGCCACAAGCCACTCTGTGCTGGCAGGTGTTTGTGTGTGCGCTGAGTGTGGGAGGCAGGGCGTGTTCTTGTATGTGTGTGTGTGTGTGGGAGGACGGGGGAGGGAGGGGGAGGGGTGTGTGCGTGCGTGCGTGTGTCTGTGCATGTGCGTGTGTGGTGCGTGCGTGCGTGCTTTTTTGGTGTGTGTGTGTGTTTGTGGTGTGTGTGCGTGAGTTTGTGTGAGTGTGTGTGTGTGCGTGAGTTTGTGTGAGTGTGTGTGTGTGCGTGAGTTTGTGTGTGTGTGTGTGTGTGTGTGTGTGTGTGTGTGTGTGTGTGTTCGTGTGTGTGTGGTTGGCAATAAACACCCCTCTGTGAGCTGCCAACGAGCACAGTAAGGGCATTGGACGAGTGATGCATGGAGCAGAGGAAGGCAGAGGAGGGCAGAGGACGGATAGGAGGGCAGAGGAGGGCAGAGGAGGGCAGAGGAGGGCTGAGGAGGGCAGAGGAGGGTCGCTGAAAATTGAAGAGATGGCTGGAAAGGGAAGAAGTTCATTTAGCAGCTCTGGAGATTTTCTCGAACCTTCAATCTAAATGCTGTGAGGCTTTGTGGCCCTATACCCCCACTGCAGTACTGGTAGCTTATTAGCAAAGAATAGGAAGATCAGTTTCCCAAATTTGAAACCCTACTGTTAACAGAGCTCAAAGCACCCTCATCCTTGCTCTATGGAGAAATGTACTACGGTACCTAGTTTGTGAAGTATAGATCGTTTCCTTCCCTAGGTGCCCCCAAATCTTGGCAAGAATCAGCTTTCAGAAGGCCTAGGAAGTCGAATCGAAATGCATGCCTTCCTACCTGGGCTGGTCAGGTCAAAGACAAGAGAGGAAAAGCAAGAGCTACCAGTGGGTGCTGCTGGCTAGAGTGACAGGAGCAGCCTGACCCAGCAGATGGTACATGGCACAGTAAACTCTGACACCTGGTTGGAAATCACCTGGTACTGCTCATGTGAATATCTTCAATCCATACATCTGGTTGACGCTCCTGGGGAGCACAGACCCATCAGTGTCAATCACATGGCCACACCCTTGCACATCCAGCCTCTGCAGTCCCTTGAGCTCACTCAACTCCTCTGGCAACACCTGCAGCCTCGCACAGCCAGTCAAACAAAGGGACTTGAGCCGTGTAAGCTGAGCAAAGCTGGGACACAGGGCGCGGATGGAGCTGTGCGGAATCGACAGCTGGTTCAGGCAGGTAAGCTGGGTGAGAGAGGGCAGCAGGTCGTCAAGTTGCTCGCAGAGAATGAGTTGCAGCTGCCGCAGCCGGGATAAGGCACCGATGCCACGTGGAAGGGAAGCCAGTTGGGGTGCAGAGTGAACCTCCAGGGACGTGAGGTTCTGCAGCGCACTCACACTCGCTGGCAGCTCCCTCAATTCCTCCGCACATTTCAGCTTCAGCCTCCGCAGCTGCTGCAATGCTGATCCCATATCTCCCCATGCCGTGAACAATCAGGGTGCGCAGCTGAGAAAGAAACGTCAAGGGGAACGGGAGCTCCTCGGAATCATCTGCCAGAGTCAGCATTAAATGCTGCAGATGAGATAGGCGCCTGCCCACAGCAAGCCCATCACACGCCACAGCAACCCGGTCCAGGCAAAGCGTCCGAAGCCCCGTCAGCCTGGAAACGTCGGGGAGAACCATCGCGTGCCTGTAGCTTCCCCAGCTGAGCGTTTCAAGGGAAACCGGCAGGAGTAGAGGAGGATATTTCAACATGTCACACGAGGCTACCTCAAGCTGCTTCAGCCGCGTAAGGCCATCCAACCGTGTGGGCGCGAAGGCGAGCTTTCTGCAGTCAGAGAACGTGAGGGCTTCAAGGCGCGTCAGGCGCGTTACAGACGCTGGAACGGCCGTGAGATGAGAGCAGGAGGAGATGTGCAGCTCCCGCAGGTTGCTCAGCTCTCCCACGCCCTCTGGAAGCCGTTCCACACCGCACAGGCCCAGCTCAAGCCTCGTCAACGAAGATATGTCAGTCAGCGAGGAAGGGAGATAACGCTGCTGACAACTGTCCCTGACAAGAAGGGTCTGGAGATTACTCAGGCGCCCAATGTCCGCTGGAAGCGCCACTTGCCCGAGGCAGAGTGTCGTGAGAGCCATGAGGCAGCAGAATCCTGCTGGCAGCTCACAGATGGGCTCGCACCAGAGCAGGAAAAAGGTCTCCAAGGCGCTGAGCTGCTGGATGGAGTCAGGGAGGCTCGAAAGCGGCAGCTGCTCCAGAACCAGAGTTTTCAGGGCAGACAATCTCCCAATGTTTTCGGGCAGGCTGCGAAATTGGCGGCACTGGAAGAGTGACAAGGTGTGGAGGTGGTTGAGGTGACACCCGCAGGCAGCTCCTGGAAGAGATCGCAACGGCAGATGGTGAGCTCACGGAGACGCGGCAGCAGCTCTGCAATGTCGTCCGGAAGTCGCTGCAATTCTCTGCAATCTGATACGTGCAGCCGTTCCAGACTTGTGCATGGCCAATCGGAACGCAGCATCTGGCTGGTCTCCAGCGATTTTATAAAAGGTAACTGTGCGATGGTGAAGGCAGCCGATCCCGTGTTAGCAGGGGGAAAGCGGGTCCGGACAGAGATTGAAAGGCGGGTAACGCTGCGAAGTCGACGCACATTTGAGAGTTGCTCACTGGTCAACTCCGCGGAGGCGATGTGGAGAGCGGTGAGAGAGGAGAGGCTTTCCAGGTCTGGAGATCCTAAGGCGGAGGCGACTGTTAAAGCCAGGGTGTGTAGACGCGTCAGGTGGAAGAAAGAAGGCGGTAGCTCAGCGTTTCGATGGAGGCAGAGGAGTGAAAGCTGCTCCAGCTGAGTGCATTGCTGGAAGAACCGATCCAGGCCAGCATCGGTAATAGGGTGATCATGCTTCGATCCCACATAGTCCGGATGCTGCGTGATCCGTCTTCCCACGTGGAGAATCGTCAGTTTGGGACACGACGATGCGAGGTGAGCGAGGAAGGTGTCGTCTAAGTTTTCCACGCTGCCGTCGCACAGATGGAGATGTGTGAGGTTCGGGAAGCAAGCGACGGCGTTCGAGAGGTCTTGGAGAGAGACAACATGATTTCGTTCAATACGGAGGGTGGAGACGTCACGCTTAGCTAGATCGCGCCACCGACGGCACACGGACGAAATGAGGAAGATCCTGGCTGTGTTTGGAGCGGCAGAGGGAGTCGAAATTGGAGTCGTCTCTTCCTCGGGATCGGAATCTTCGTCTAGAAGGACCGAGGAAAGGTACTGAGGCTTCGGCCACAATGAAAGGCGAGACCATAACGCGTCACTATCGGAATTCCAAGATGTGCACTCCTTAAACTGCCATAGTATCCTGGCGAGGACGTCGTTGGGAAGGTCGTTAATATGTGTCGCCGACTGCATTTCTTTCGGCGAGATTATGGTGGAGAGGTTGACAAGAGAACGAGATGAAGTGACCTCGAAGCCTAGCCTTTGTTTAAAACGAGATCAAAGAACGAGTGTGACGTGAAAACGGAAAAGCAGTGGAGGTCAACACTCAGCATTCTCTCAAATGCCTGCAGAACAGCAGGCGAGTTGGATTGTGAGCGGCAGTCTTCTGAGTGGTGCCCCACGGTGGTAGTGGCTCCATAGCTGACAGCATTTCATCAGGTCAGAAGGGCAAACCGACTTGGGAAGGACGTGCAGGAAATGGGTCGAGGGCGCTATTCGACAGCAATGAAGTCCAGGTATCTTTAGGGCGTGTTGCAAGTTCGAAAATCTAAGAATTGTGGCAGTTCACCGATCCCTTGTTGGAGATCCTGGGCTCAGTGCGTGATCGATCACTGTACTACGACCGCCCAAGCGTACTACCACCTAGAGTATTGCGACAGTGTGGTTTCGCTTTTCAAACGCAGAAACAATGAACACCCTGTTCGCCACTGTCTCGTCATGCGAGTGTTTCTGCGCATGGCGAAATGGTTTCGTAACTGTATGTTGTCTGCCTCGTCAATCTCACGATCGATCTTCGTGGCGAGGCGATCGTCATGGTTTCCGCCAGTCTTCTCGGTTGTGCACAGTGGCAACACTGTAGTATGGTATCCTTTCGCTACAGTGGTCGACCACAGTGAGGTTCGGTTCGAAGAGGCCGTCGATCCTTTACTTGCAAGACGCCCTTAGTGGAAGCAGAGTCTAGTTTTGGCTCGGAAAAAGGTTCGGCTCCTGCAAATCACGTGCGAACCCCCTGCCACACAATATGGAAGCTTCAATCCCTTCCCGCCTGCGAATGCCTGCAGAACAGCACATTTCGAAGGACATTTTTTTGCCGGCAATACAGTGTTGTACGCGGTGAAAACATGTGCAACTGATTACAAACATAGAAGCCAGAGATACTAATCATACTATGGATGCATCAGACAAAATAAAAGAAAGTAGCCTCACCACACAATACAGGTTATGTTCAAGCAAGGTAACCACACCCATATGTACAGTCCGTTCTCAGTGTACACAGCAGATGTCCCCGTTAAAAGTTGTTGGAATAACCGAATGGTTATAAAAAGGCATTCCCAAAGATTCGCCTAAACGCATCAGTTCATAACGAACCTGCTCAGCTCATGTACCAGTAACGAATTCTTGAATTTCTTACTTCGCAACCGTCTCCATCCAACGCATACGGTACAATACAACACTGTGCACCCGACCTCGACCGTTCTTTGGCTGTTACCAGCCACCAGTGTCATTTGCACTGTGCACCTACTTTCACCAAACCTTGCCGCCAGGCCGCATCGGCCTACGCAGGGGGCCATTCACGAGGCAGCAGGTGGGCCTTGAAGCGGCAGCAGCTGCTTGGCTGAGAGGTTGGCGAGTGAGTCGGCTACGATGCGCGCGTTATTGGGCTGGTACCCCCCTGGAGACAGGGGACAGGAATGAGGAAAGAGGGAGATGACACGATGTTTGAGGCGCCAAAGAAGCGTTATTGGTCTGGTACCCCCCTGGAGACAGGGGGTAGGAGTGAGGAGAGAGAGGAAGGGGGAAGGGCAGTGGAGGTTGGAGAGGAGAGCGTGGATGGTGCAGGATGGGGAGCGGCAGTTATCCAAGGCATGGCATGGCGATGGCCGCAGCATGGCGATGGCAGCAGCATGGTGATGGCAGCAGCATAGCGATGGCAGCAGCATGGCGATGGCCGCAGCATGGTGATGGCAGCAGCATGGTGATGGCAGCAGCATGGTGATGGCAGCAGCATGGTGATGACAGCAGCATGGTGATGGCAGCAGCATGGTGATGGCAGCAGCATGGTGATGGCAGCAGCATGGAGGTACTGGAGGTGAGCATGAAGGAGGGGGTACTGGAGGTGAGCATGAGGGGAAGGGTACTGGAGGTGAGCGTGAGGGGGAGCGTACCGCTGCTGCTCGGCCTACCGGAGGTGAGCATGAGGATGGGTGTGGAGTGGCTCCTGGCGAACTGGAAGACCATCTCATCCCGCCTCTGCACTCCCTCCGCTGTCACCTGCTCGCCCCCATGCCATGCACACACGTGCATGTGGCCGATGGAGGGAGAGGGAGGGAGGGAGAAAGAGGGAGAGAGGGAGAGGGATAGAGGGTTGGAGAGAGGGAGAGGGAGAGAGAGGGAGAAAGAGCAAGCCAGAGTGAGAAAGAGCAAGCAAGGGTACGAGAGGGATGTTAGTTGCATGCATAGAGGCAGTAAGAGTGAGACGCATTTCACGAGAGGAGGATGATGAGGGGGTGCAGAAGAGGAAAGGGGGCAACAGGGCATCAAGGCTCACAGCTGCAAAGGCATGAGCCATTATATGTGTTCAAAGAAACGGCCACAGTAGCTTCTTATAGACACACCCACTGTAGCTTCCTATGGCAACACCTGCTATAGCTTCTCGTAGCAACGCCCAAACTTAGCTTCTAAATAAGAACACTTGCTATAGCTTTCTGTAATAACACTCACTATAGATTCTAATAAGAAAACTTGCTATAGCTGATTGTAGTAACACTCACTACAGCTTCTTAAAGAAGCACCACTACCCTTCTACATATAACCAAACCTCTCCATCCTCCCATGCCCCCACCGCCCCTCCTTGCCCCCACCACCCCTCGTTGCCCCCACCGCCCCTCCTTGCCCCCACCACCCCTCCTTGCTCCCACCACCCCTCCTGTCACTCTCACCGCAAGTCTACCGAGAGGGTCGTTGGCGAGAATGTCGGTGCCGGCGTTGTAGATGAGCAGATCCGCGTGGAAGGCTGCTGCTGCCACCTGCCATGGGAGTGGGGTCAGGTGGGGGAGAGGTGGGGAGAAGAGGGAGGGGGAGGAAGAGTGTAGAGGCTCAGCGCCGGGAATGTCGGTGCCGGCATTGTAGACGAGTAGATCCGCGTGGAAGGCTGCTGCTGCCACCTGCCACGTGCAGGAGGTGCATGAGTGCTGCGGAGCAGGTGGTGGGGGGAGGGGAGGAGAGACATGAAATATCGGGTCCGGTGAAATGGGGAGAAGGGAGGGGCAGGGAGAGGGAGTGGGGGGAGAAAAGGGAGCGAGGAGAAGAGGGAGGAGGGGGAAGAGGGTAGAGGGTCAGTGGGGAGGATGGCATGGGAGATGTGGAGACTTGCTGGTGGGCGATGCACACTGCAGTGTGCCCCTCGCCTTCCCCCCTCGCCTCTCACCACCTCCCATGCCTCTCAACTCCTCCCATGCCTCTCAACTCCTCCCATGCCTCTCGACTCCTCCCCTGTCTCTCACCTCTCCCCTATCCCTCACATCTCCCCTGCCCTTCACCTCCTCCCATGCCGCTCACTTCCTGTGCAACAGCATCAACATACTGCTCCATGCCTGCTATATGCCATTGTACGCGCCTCTCACAATGACAACACATGGCTGTCACCTCCTCCCTTGTCTCTCACCTCCTCCCTTGTCTCTCACCTCCTCCCTTGTCTCTCACCTCCTCCCTTGTCTCTCACCTCCTCCCTTGTCTCCCAAATCCTGCACTGCCTCTCGCCTCCTGCAGTGCCTCTCGCCTCCTACTGTCTCTCACCTCCTGCACTGTCTCTCACCTCCTGCAAAGCCTGCGTCACAGCGTCCAGGTACTGTGTTGTGCCTGTGCCACTCTGAGGGGGTCAGTGGGAGGAGGCAGGCAGGCATGCGGATGCAGTGATGAATGCAAGATAGCTGATACATGGTGTGTGGTGCGTGGTGCGTGGTACACAGCAGAAAAGCACAGTGAAGAAATGCACGGTGAAGAAAAGCACGGTGAAGAAAAGCACGGTGAAGAAAAGCACGGTGAAGAAAAGCACGGTGAAGAAATGCACATGAAGCAGCAAGAGCTCCACGATGGCCACATGCTGCTCGGTGCTCAACTCCTGTGCCCCACATAAACTGAAATCAAGGCACACTCACTCTGAGCTCCTTGGCAATGCGAATGGCCTCCTTGGCTTGATGATCCTGCAGCGTGACATGGTGACACGGGATGGTGACATGGCGCATAGGATGGTGACATGGCGCATGGGATGGTGACATGGCGCATGGCATGGTGACATGGCACATGGGATGGTGACATAGCGACACGGATGGTGACAAAGCGACATGGGATGTTGAAAAGATGGCCGCACCGCATTGCACACATCCATCCACTATAAATCGTTAACACGCCTCAGATTTGTTCACGCACCTCAGGTACCCCCCAGGTCAGCCCAGTGCACTAGACATGAGCAAAAATTCGAACCCCTGTTCGGGTCGACTCGAAAGTGTTCGACTCGAACGTGTTCGACTGTTTTTTTTTGCCCAAAATAGCTCATGACGAACACCTTGGTGTTCGTTACGAACACGTTCGACTGTTAGAGTGTTCGTGTGCAGGGAAAGGCACGAAAACCTAGGTGTTCGCGAACACAATGTGTTCGTCGCGAACACCTAGGTGTTCGAGGGAAAATTCTATACGTTTAAGTTTGACGCGCTGGTTGGATTTAAAAGGGGAGGGCGACAATGGAGCTCAAGAATGAGCTCAATCGTCGATATAGCCTAAGGATGGCATTCCGCCCCCTACCCACTCAAGCTACCACATTCCCACGGTTAAAATTCCACATTGTGGCTGGAATTCTCAGGTATAAGGTTGAATTAGGGTAGGAGACGGTTAAATAAGGAACTAAGGGCATTTTGGTTTAGGTTGGAGTTTAGCAAGGCGAAATTGGATATCCACCAGATCTGCGCCAAGCCTAACTATATCTCTTGTAGGGCTATAGGGAACGTGATATTGCTTCTGGTACACTCGCTCTGCCTGAATGTGACTATACTGAAAGAACCCCCCAAGGCAAACTGTTTGAGTTCGGATAAAAAACCTTAGTGTTCGGCCTTGCCTCAAAACTGTTCGACCCTATACTCGAACAGGGAACACAAACATTTAAGAAAACTGTTCGAGTCAAACGTGTTCGGTTCGGT